GGCCAGGTCCTGTTCTCTATTGCTGAGCTTGCCATTTTTAGCGGCAGCCAGCATTTTCCGGCAGCCAGCCAGATCACGTTGCATAAAGCAGATATAAGATGCCGATAGTTGCCAGAAGGCTTTATCGGCACGCTTGTTATCTGCAATTATTTTTTGAGCAAAGCTGTTCAGCGATGACAGGTACTTTTCGTTTTTATTCTTTTCCTCGCTCGCTTTTCCTTCGTCTCCATTATAATAGGAAGCATAATCATTGAACCAGTAACTCGATGCGGTTAGATTACGATCGCTGGAAAGTACACGTGCCTGGTAACGTTCTTCCGTTTTATTGATTTCCCGGGTCATCACTACATCGAGTCCGGCAACGGAAGGATCGGCCTGATAGGCTGCCTGCATAGAAGGTAAGCCCTGATCGTAATGATGCAGTCCGTTCATCACCCATACCACTGCTTTTTCATGTGGCGTTTTGCATAGCTTCAATACAGGCGTTGCATCCTTACCCACACACCAGTCAAACGACTGGAAGGAGGTCGTCTTTATATTATCGCTCTTATCAAAGGCGAGTGCATAACAGTAAGCCGCTTCCGGTTTGCGTTTCAGCCGGAATAAGGCTCCGCCTTTTAAGGCAAGGGTCCGTGCCTGTATCTCGCTGTTACCCGTATTACTGGCAGCCAGTGTATTGTACAGATCGAGTGCAAGGGAAGGATTGCCCGCATAAAAGGCCAGTCGTATCACCTGGTAATTATAACGGTCGCGGATAAAGTCTTTTTTGGCTGCTTTTTGCAGTTGCAGTCCATTACGTATTAGCTTGCCCATCTTCACCGTGTCGCGTTCCGGGGCATCCCAATCACCCGCCGTATTTACCAGTGGCTCACATTGTTTGGCATACATCAGGTAGCCCAATGCTTCCAGGTCTTTAGCGGTGATAACCCATTTTGTAAATCCATTGCCGGCAACGGCCTTGTCTGTATTTAATGCGCTGCCTTTTTCTATATGGGCGTACAGCGTTTTAAGGTCCTGGTAACTGAAGGCATAGACAAAGCTGTCAATATCGGCCAGCG